TTGTAACAAGTTCGGAGTCCGAAAACTTATGACAAGGTCCATCTGCAATAAGAAGCCGGTGAGAATGCCAAGACTGTTCGGCCGACAATATCCACATTTGAATAAAGTTCTTTCTACTTGTACTACGAATATTACGACCTGCACTACCTAGTCCCACCCCCATCCCCTAGTTTATGATTGCGGACACCCTCTACCCCGTAGACCAAAAACGCAAAACATGATCTGGGGGCAGGGAGGTTGTTCTTGTCAGGTTAACATTACCGTGCTGGCGTGTGGAGCAAAGGCCCTCATATAATTCGAACGATAGAGAACTTGCTCCAAACCTATCCAGAACGGAATATGCATGCTGAGCAGGTTATGCATACTGTACTTGAAGTATTTCATGCCATGTAACGAGTGTCAGCCCTTTGTGCCCCCCCAAGCTCCAAGACCAGCTTCGGGGTTTTGCCGCAATCAGTGCAAATTCCCTGTGCCAAACCGCTTAAGAGCTAACTGACATGGGCAAAAAAGAGGGGGGAGTTGCATGTGCCGCTACGATTGCTTCTCTGGCTGCTCCTAGCACTCTCACATTTCAGGGTATCTATCACCTGCTACTACGGCTTTTCCACAACTGCTTCGATTGCTCAAAAAGCCTTGGCATTGTTGCCCTCGCCGGAAGGCACATACCACCCGTAGGGCGTGTCCTGCCACGAGCGGGAAAATGTGGGCGGAGCTTTTTTGCTGAGCTTGCTTACTGTTGGCAAAAGTGGAAGGTGCCCACAATCATTATACGGCCCATGTTTGTTATTTAAGGCTTCCCCAAGACATCCAATATATACAGTCACTAGTGTTCCTTCGCAAGTGACCGTCATCTCTGCCGGCTTCATGGTGAGCGTTGATGAGTACCATCCATCAGAGTAGCATTTTTTTGGTGGTTGAACCTAGTAAGATTATATCCCTTATATAAAAAACTATACCCAAAAGGAGGATATAATCTTACTCTATATTGGGTATCATAGTATCCCCAAATACAATACTACTCATAAGAGATGACAAGCCTGGCCTTCTCTGACTGTTCCAAGACCTCCACGATGTCATCGTAGCCAGCTTCCTGTCGTACCGTGGAATATCCGTATTTATCAGTCTAGGGATTATAGGGTTTAGGGTTTAGATTGGGGTGCCCTAGACGTCCTGCAGTACAAGCGTTCTACCACGATTTGAGGCGAGGATTCATTGCGAGTAGATCTTCAATAAGCTCCTCATGTAGCCGGTTGTCACGTTGCCTAGCTTCGGACCTCATAGCTAGAGACAGTTGCTTCACAGCCTAGGCCGTCACTGGAGGCACATCCGATCAGAATTGACATGATGTGTCTTTAGTCCCAAGTGGATCGCGGGGTGCCTTCATGGAAAGCATGCACTCTACAGCCTGTCTAGAAGCGTGAGGATATGCGTATTCTCAGTAGCGCAGGGTACAATCAGAAAGAAGTTCAACAAGACCAAGTCTGCAGCTTTCTACACTCACTGTCGCTGTCCTTCGCGAACTCCAGAGCTGTCTTGCCATCCTGCTCACCGCAGGTTGACGTGGAGCATCCAACAGCAATCCGATTGAGAGGTTCTCCAGTGTAGAGGTTCGAATTAGTCGTGAGTTGCCAAGCCGGAGGGCTTCTGAATTTCATCCGGTGACCATCAGTGTACCGTTATCACTTCCCTCGCCAAGTTCAAGCCCAACACTAGTGGGGCAAAAGCCTCGAAGTCAAGTGTCGCACTCTGAAGCTAGGAAACAATCAACAAGTGTCTTGACAAAGTGGAAAGCAAGCAAGGTTGGATGGTGCTGACTCCAACTTTGGGGTACGGTATGGATTGCAACCCTCCAAGATTCGTAGAACCCTGAAAGGCTAGAGCGGCAACCTTCCCAGCAGCCTGAATGCACCAGCAATGTAGGGACTTACGCCTAGCCCCCACACCCCTTGCAGCTGGAGTTCCAAATACACAACATGAGTAGCATGAACTCAGCTCTATTCATAATGTTAACGCCAATAAGGAATCAAGGCCTTCGTTGGGGGAGAGTGGCGGGCAACGGCTGAGGTCTGGCGTAAACCATAATGGAAGAACTTGTTGAAGACTTGACCTCGGGGTCGTTCCCGTAGTTCATGCTCTCCTTGACGTGAGGGTCCGCCTGACGACTGACAGCGAAATCGACTTGTGAGGAAAGATTTCCTGAGTGGCCGCACCACAGCAGATATTAGCTGGCATGGCCAACTGAGAGTGTCCTCCTACCCCTATGCGAATGGCAACCCATTCCAACATGGTATGTCGGAGCTTGGCCTGTTAAACTCGCACCAAATCAAAACAGGAGGCCTGATGATTTCTGCGGAGGGGTTCGGCAGTAGTAGAAGTAGCTTGGGTGCGCGGACTTTTTCAAAAAAAAAGCTCCTAGGCCTCTTTGCGTTGATGTACTCTAGCACCGGGGTTCTGCTTACATCTAAGTATTGCATGTGTAGTGCTCTTCGTGTTTGAACCGAGATTAAGATTTACATTCTTCACTTAAGACTACAACAACCACAAGAATCTAGCCTTGCACTTTATATGTACATCTTGGGAACCATGGCATCCCTATCCCAAACGCTGCTTAAACACTGCTGCAGATTATTACCAACCTTGTGGTCCTAGGTTCTTGTAGAATTGTGGTATAAGGTACCTCAAATAAACCTGATATGATTATTAGGCCTGTTATCTGCATCCTATAAACATAGTCAGAAAGAGAGTAATAATGATGATAAGAATAACGACAATAATAAGAATAGTACTAACAATAATAACGATAATACTAACAATCATAATAACAATAAAATCTCGGGGGCCCTAAACTACTCAACTAGCTGGCCTTCGCCTTTAGCAGAAGGGCCACGCACTCGGTCTGCCCAGCCATCGCCGCCATTTGAAGCGCGGTGATCTTAAGCGGTTTCGTGTAGAAGGAGGGCTTAATTGTTGCGGATAAGGGCCAGGGTTTGGCTTGAAAGTGTTGTGGATCTTGTTTGGGTTTGGGGTCTGAATGGATTGAAGGGTATGAAAGCATGGGCCAAGTGATATTGTTGGGAAACTCAAGCGCAAGCATCTTCTCTTTGAAAAAGCCAGGGTTGCCCTTCTTTCAGAATTGACCAGAGTACAAGCTGTGGTTTCCTAGAAGTCTGGTGAAACTGCTGGTCCCAGCAGTCCGCGCTTGCGGGGCGAAAAACAACTAATCCGACTAATCCGACACAACGATGATAAGAATAGCCGCCTGCAAGCAGATTTGGCAGACCATAAGCCACCTTGAAAACAGTAGTCTTTAAGGATCCGATCCGGTACTTTCAAAAGGCTTTACCTTGAAAAGTGACCCCACTCAACTTTTCGCTTAGTATATTGCAGCAGCAACTACACCTGCTTAAGACTGTTTTTTGGTGAGGGCAATGCTCAAAGCATGCCCAGGTAGGAAGTTATAGGCCCTTTTCATAGAGCCATCGGCAAGATGACGATAGGGCAATTTTGAAGTCATGCTGACACGTGTGGAAATTTTGCTTCGGCTGTGAGCATGTCTCCCCCACCCAAGCTTACTTTCGGAAACCGGTTCGGCAGCCCTGTTAACAAGGGGGCAACGGCTGACAATGGATTCGAGCGACATACACCAAGGCTGAGTCAACTCCATTGCATCCCTTTTTTTTTGCCTATTCAGACCTAACTAAGGTATACTCAGGGATTCCCACCTTTGATCGACTTAGCTCGTAAACTCATCTCAAAAAAGACTGCCAAAAATGCCGTCCACCCAGACCCAAGGCGGGCACGTTGTTGACGAAACCGTTCAAGTCGCCATTGAAGAGCGTCTTCTCATCCCCAGTGGCCAGCATCTCCTGGAGCGGATGGCTTGAATACGCCATTCTGAGCTACTGGACAAGTTCTGCTGCCCAGAAGGGTGACAATTGCTTCAGGCTTGCTTGCGGAAAGCATTCCTAAAACCCTCCATCAGCTGCGCGGATGCCCACTTCGGGCACAGCATAAAGTTGACATCTTTCCCGTGTATCTAGAGCTTAGACAGCTTAGCTGCTGAACAGTGGGACACTGTTGCATCTGCAAGTTGGCCATGTACCTAAACAGCAATATCAACGGAGAAACCTGTTCCCCAAAAGCTTCCTCGACATCACTAGCCAGGGCTCGAGGAACGAATTGCTACATAGGAGTTTCGTCAGATGTCTTCATAGCATTGTTCATAATAGTTATTACGGAATAATAGTAATACATTATTCTGATTACTAGAAACAGTACCATTCATATTACTTAAGCTTTGATCTTGCACGATAATTCCAATAGACACACCGGAGCCACTGCCTCGAGCTTGTCATAATCGCCTGTGTACGACGCCTGGCATGTGCTCCGCAACTGCACAGGGCCGACGATGGTTTAGTCTGCGTCTTTGGACCACAGGGCTGGGAAGCACAATGAGCCTACCAGGACGGAGCGGAACTGAAGCACACGCATCCTAAGGCCTCACAAACGGACTTCAGATCGACGAGATTGTGCTTCATATAGCGCCTTGCGGGGACAGTTGCTGAAACTTGCACGCCGAGACTAGTGCTGAGAGTGTGCGATGTGCAGAGATGGGCGAGCTGTTATTGATTCTTACAAAGCCAAAGCATACCGTGCAACTTGTGCTAGAGGAGAAGCAGCCTGCAACAAATGATGATGTCACTGCGCGCTTGTAATTCTAAGGACCGCCTTAATGTCACTCCTGCTGGCTCTCTTGGGCCTGCTGTCCAGTCTTAGTGTCTGGCAAACTCACCGCTAATCCCCCAAAATCTCCACTGCACACCCGCTTTCCAGGCAATGACTGGCATGCAAGAAGTCTGGCAGCACCGGGGATACCTCAGATATCCTCAAGTTACTTTAAACTTCATAGCCTGGGACGCTTGGGATTGAGCAGCCTTCTGCCACAGCTTCCAACGTTGGACCACAACGGGTCTCAAAAGGATTTAGGCTCTGAGGTTCGGATACTCTGAGTTGGTCTGAGGCTGCACATTGCCAAGGGGAGAAGAAGCACTGGGTACAACAGCAAGGTTTCCCCTACCTTGTTGATGCTTCCCAACATGAAGAAAAAGAACCCTCATCAGAACGGGAGCCCACGAATCTAGAATCTAGACTCGTATCGCAGTCAGCACCCCAACAAGATTTGGGGGGAATGCTCAGCCAAGGATGGACTACCCCATCAAAGACCTGTTGAGACAATCCTTCCTGAGGCCGGGTCTTGGTGTTGGGAATGGCATTCCTGAAGCCACTCGTTGGCACGCCCTGGCAGCAGCTTTTGAGTGTTTGAATGCCATGAAGGAGGCTTGGAACCTAAGTTGGACTAAGGAGATGGGGGAAATCCTTTACTAATTGTTGTACGTTCAGTCTGCATCCCCCTGAGGTAATGCACGCCCTCTAGCCCAGTCAACCAACCCGATGCCATGTTGAACAAGTGATGTTGTAAAGTACCCGATGTCAACGCATGCTCTGAGCCAATACTTGACCTCGATCAACAAGGTCGCTAGCCTTTCTCCTCGTTTCGAGACATACCTGTCGAGGTTAAAAGAGTCCACCATCTCATCATCCCACAAGGCCCCAAACAGAACCGTGAACTTGCAGACACCCTTCTACGGATTAAGTCGAATTGGGATTTCTGGCCCGCGTTTATGACATCTGACCTTCCTGTTGGCTCTGAAACTCACTTAGTGTTAAGGGACCGCCCTATCAAACAAGCTATTGTGAGCACTAGGACTACGTTGACTATGTATTCTCCAAAGGCACGGGCTTGTCCCTTCCGAGGCTTGGGCGCTGGGAATCTCGATGTCTGTTCCTGGGTGGTACTCCGGCATGGCCTGCGCAAGTCCATCAGAATGGGTCTGTATCGGCTTGCTCTAACGGAAATCAATCTGCTTTCCTTTCGCAAAATACGCAGGTTGTCAACTAGGAACTGTCAAGATCACAGTCATGGCAGTCCTTTCATCAGATTCCAGCCAGCCAAGCATGTCCGATCTAGATTACAACAGCTCTGCGGCGTGTGCCTCGCACTAGCCTAGGCAGACATGTTCTTCTTGAGTGTTCCAGCCTTTTTGCCCCCCAAAATAGTATAGTACTTATGATGGGACTCCCAAAGCAAACCCCTGATTGTTGGCAATCCCGCTTGGATCCCTGGCCTGGATCCGCGTAGCCAGCAGATGCGGGGGGCTTCAAGAGTAATCGGCGTCTCGAGCCCAACCAAGACAATGCATCAGTCAACTGCCCACCGTACGTCGTATAGCGCATTAGAAAATAATCGCAATACCATGGACATCTCTCCCTTTTGCAAACCAAATCCAACTTGAGGCACACCGTTCATCCTGAAGTCGTCACATGGCCGGGGCGCAACGAAATTGCAAGCTCCTGGAGAACCATTCGCTCTCTCTCCCGCCCACAATAAGCAGGACCCTCACTTTTTTTCCGGTGCAGCAATGCAGCCGATACGCTTTGCAGCTTGCCACTTCATGCTTCTCTGTGGCGGCATGTCCCTGCCAACAGCATCATGGACGAAGAAGGTCGAGACCGAGACAATCGTTGCCTCTCGAGCCGATGCCGCCGTGTTGGAGCAGGAAGCTGGGCAGCTCTTTCAAGACGTCAAGGCTATACCCGAATGCTCAGGATGTCTGCAGCGAACTACTGGTACACGCCAATACCAAGTGCTCTCAGATCTGCATGTTGAAGAGCTTCACCGTGAGGAAGCGCACCACAATCCTGATTGTTGACATGCGTTGAACTCTTGTCGGTCACCTGTTTGTCAGCTAGCAACAACTTCTTGTGCACTGATTCTAGCACTGCTGCTTGCAGTATCATCAGTGTATAATCTGTCAGTATTACAGTATGCGCCACTTCTCTGAAGAAGTATCTGTCGTACGGCAAGCTGCCAGCACTAGCAAATCAACAAAATCGCCATGCTTGCTCCAAGCAAAACACTCCAGCCAAGACTCAACACAACTCCTGTCTACTGCGAGCTCGTGGCAGCAGGCTTCACGGACGCCGACTAGGCCTCCGAAGGAGACTTCACAAATGCATTTGTTCTCATTCAGGATTGCAGGAGGAACTAGAGAGTGCGCATACATCTGAGTGCTCCTAGATTACCGGCAGAGCCTCCTCGACACAAAGATCCACAAAGAAGTTGCTCATGTCGGCGCCAGTGGCTCTGGGCTGGCGCCATAGCGCGCCAAGGGCCGTCGGTCGCGCCTGAGTTCAAGCACAAGCGCCGTTTAGTTAGGTTTTACAATTGCGGTACTGGCGCTAACTCCATACAAAAAGAGCAGGCAACGTACATGCATACCATTAGAAACGGAGAGTGGCCACGATCCACTTGAGTCTAGCGTTTTCAAGGTTTCCAGAGGCTTGACGGCAGGTGCAGTTTATGATGTTAAATGCGATTCGCGCTCCGGGATTCCAACCCAAATACGCATGCTACTCATGCCGACTCATGCCACAGCCGATACATCAAATGGATTTACTTGCTGGATTTGGACCGCTCACCATGGCGGTGCCCTTGCACCTCGCCAGCAACCCTTTATCGGAACAAGTCCATGGGTGAAAGCTAGCCAGCCAACCCAAACCACAGGTTCACATGATTTCGTTGCATCCAAAACAAGAATGTACATCTGGCCCTTGGCCCTTCCCGTGACAAGGTTAACGCTGAGCTAGTCCGTAGTGGCGACATGAGGTCGCATGCTTTTCCAAATCAGCATTCACGGACTCCATTTTTTATGAAGCATGAAGAGCAAAAGCAAGCAGCACTAGAACCACCAAGCGCATCCCTCTAATGCATAGGATGCTGCCAGTTCGTCCCTTTGGTCTATTTGCATGGCAGCCAAGCGGAAACAAAATGCAATCTTGAGCACCACCTCAGCAGTGATGCAGGTCCAGACAAGCACTCCACTCTTCAGAAAGATTCATCACCAATACCTTAAATCTGAGCCCTGGCTACAAACCTCCAAGCTCCAGGCATCTGCGCTCTCAGCTGGAAAAATCGTCGTAGCTCTTCACCAAACCAGGGCCCTGCTGACAGCCCCACAAGCAGGGTTTTGGGGGTTGTCAGGTGTGGACGGGACAGGGGTGCTTGTTGGCAGAATTGGCCAAATGCAGATGGCGCACAGCAAGAACAGTTTTGCCATCAAAGTGCCTGCTGGTGAGAAAACTTTCATATCCTGCACTTGCTCGAATGCTGCAAGAAGCCACGAAGGGCCTGTACGATGCCTTGAGTTCATGCTGTCCATATCCGCTCTCTTTCTTGCATGAATGCAAGGCATGCGCAATCACAATTCTGCGCCAAGACTCAAAATTATGACGCAGCGACTGCACTGTACCCCTTAATAGCCCCTATAGTATCCCCTATTAATATAGCCCCCCTTTGCTATAGTAAACTTGTTCCTATTCCATGCCTGCTGCACAACTGGCCTCTGCAAAACATTGGCTGTCTTACTAAGAACCTAAGATAGCCCGCGGCTGCAAGTTTTACTACGAGATTCTGCATACACAACATACTGTGGATGGAGGAAGCCTCACACTACCCTATCATGCGCTAAATTATGGAAAAACCTAGGTGGTGCAAGATGTCCTCTCCACGAAGTTTTCTCGGGGTGTGCCTTTCCCAGAGTAAAACCTTCACGAGCATCCCAGAAGTACAGAACTTTAGAGCTTCTCCTGCTTTGTGACTTGCATGTTGAAATTCTGCCTCGAATATCCTTGCATGTGGGAAAACTGAGGGTACCATGCATTCCGCTTAACCAAAATGCTGCAAGAGGTCATGCTAGGGTCAGGAGATGTAGGGGCTATCACTCGAATCGCCTTCCGAATCGTCGGGCAAGAGTCCTTCCTCAGCTTCAGAAAT